AAGCAAATGCAACAGAACAGTGCGTTCATGTGCAAGGCGGTCAAGCCAATGCCCCTTCTTGGAGAACATGGCCGACTCTCAAAGCAAGTCATTCCCAGAACAGAGACAGAACAACTCTCGTTTCTTCCCAAAAGAGCCACCCGTTTTTCCAGGGTCAGGTTTCGACCCACCAACCCCAGGGTCTTTCGCCGCTTGCGACGAGTGAGGTTTGGTCTCAGGCCGAGAAACATGCGCCGCGGCCGCAGAAGGTGCAGTAGCCCGGTCGGCCACACTGCTCCCAGCAGTCCTGTTGAAATTCTCCCCTTCTCTGCGAAAATGGGGAGGGGCGTCCTCCTTTGGTTGGGGTTTGAAAGGAAAATCAAAAAGGAAAAAAACCATTTTGGGGCTCCGTATCTGGGTGATGTTGACCCAAACCTCAAGAATTCGCGGCTTCAAACCTCAAACAGCTGGAAAAAATGGCTTGAAAACTATCGAAATCGGGACCGGTTTCTACATCTGGGTATGACTCCAAAATGGGGGGCTTCAAAATGGGTGGTGTCCTTTTGGTTTCCCTTTAAAACCACCAAAAGGCTAAAAACCGAGCCTCAAACAGCCACACACCCGCATGGGGTTTCTCAAACAAAACAGGTCCCTTTTGATACGGCTTTAGGAGGGAAGAAGAAAGCCCCTGAAGGAATCGGTCCCACTTTTGAGAAAGACCTGTATTTAACACCTACCCAACACAAAAAGTGAAACGGAAAGTAAACCGGTGTGTGTTGCTGTTGACTTTCCTTCCTACCCAAACCAAAAAGGCGACCAACTCAAAAAGGACGACCCCTCCCCCCACACATGCCGCAACATCCGCCTTGCGGCTCCCGTCCTGGCCCGTGTTCCTCACCCGCTGGTGTGCCTACGGAAGCTCGGCTCTCCGTGGGTCCCCGCGTCCTTTTTTGAGTTGGCAGCCCTTGTTTGTGCTTCAAAGGGAAACCAACAGGTGTTAATACCATTTTTTTGGAGACTCCGTGCAAAAAAGACACGCCCATGTGTGAGTACCGTGTTGTGGTTGAAGGTACCCTGTTTAAGGTGCGTGTTTTAAGTGGAACCAAAACGAGAAACATGAAACCACCAAAAAGAAAAGTAAACTAAAAAAGTTCCTCTACAGAATAGGCTCTCGACCCTCACATTAATTACACTGAAAAAAAGCGAGTCGTCCCGAACTGTATGGGGTGGCTTCCAAAATTTAAGAGTCATTGAGGGTCTAGGGTTTCACTTGCCTTTGAACCTCGCTTCACGAAGGTAAGGGCGGAGAGCAAGGCACAAAGGGTACCCTTGTTGCTACCCTTGTTCCGAGAAACATGCAAGTGCACAGACCCCCCCTCCCGAAGGAAAGCAAAAAGGGCTGGTGCACTTCTGTGTCTCTTGGTGGGAGGGTAGCCAAACATTGCCCCTGCCGCCCCCTATCACCACATTGCTTAGAATATCCCTGCAGGCAGTCCGTACAAGACCTGCACAACAAGTGACTTATCTCCGACGCACGGTTACTAGTTACTCCGTCCGAATTTACTGTATTTCAGCGAGCATCCCTGGTGACTCCTGCCGATTGCACAAATGCTCCGAGGTTGGACTTACAGTCTGGTATCCGTCTGCAGCAAATCACACCTGTCCAGATTCCAAGCGTGGCGCTCACATGTCTCTCTCTGCCCTTTTTTTCCCTAAAGCAGCTGAACTTGTTCAGGGCAGGCAGCACGGAAAGCATTGCGAGTGTTCAGTCTTCCAACACTCTCAGTTTGCATAGAAAACCTAGCGACGTCAAGGCTTTTGTCGAAGCCGTCGGAAACGGAAAATACGGCAAAGCTCACAAGAAACAGATGCAACGCAGTAAAATCACATCTTAAAGAAATAAGGGGGCTGGGCATTGTGCATCAGCAAGCCACAAGCCAAGCGAAAAAAATACAGGGGTTCGCACAAATTTGGAGAACCGCCGTCAAAGTACATGGCTGTGGGTCAAAACCAATGGGATCCCATTTTGAGGTAGCTGAATTCACCATCTTAGAACCTATTTTAGCGGGGATTGGTTGATGTTCACTGGGGGGACGGGCTTGGGATTTTGACCCATGGCCGCATGTTTCTCCGAAGACTCGGCCGGGGCCCCCGGCGAAGAACCCCGCGGACTCAGCCTCCCTGCGCGGGAAAGCTTCCAGAAGCGGGGGGTCAGACGACTTTGGTGGCGAAACAAACGGCTGGTGTTGTTGCAGCCACTACCACTACCGGGAAGAAAAACGAAAAACAAACGTGGTATGCGCTAGCAAAAGAAACTGGTTGCTCTTTTTGCAGCCTATGAAAAATGGACAGCACCAACAACACCTAAAAACAGGGTTAGGCCAAACCGGTTGCGGCAACCAGGAACTAAACAAAGGCTGTTGAGTTTCAATGGGCGGTGCAACTTTTGGCCTACATGTTCTCAAACATTGCACCTTCTAGGGGGGCCCTTCTTCTCCGTCCATGGGAAATACAATTTTTAGGCACCCCGAAACCTCAAGCCTCAAACCAAACTAGACTTTGAACAGCGCTTCTCAGTTGAGCACAGTCCCAAAAACTCTTCCCTGTCCCCGCTTTGCAATCTCCCGCATGTGTCACTAGGGCAACTCCAAAGATGGTGGTGTTCCAGCGACCTCTCTTTTAACCAACCTTAAAAAGAGAAACCTCGGAAAAAGGATCGAAAAAGTTCAGGGATCCCGCGGGGCAATGGTGGTGAAGGAGGGGCCCCCATTTTCCCATTTAATACCACCAAGTAACTGACCTGAGAGCCCGAGAATAGCGTAAATGGAGGCGTGTCAACACGAAGAACACACCAACCAATCGGAAGGATCACTGATTTGGACATACAGCCAGTTCATTCCTTACTCATGGCCTGGACATATTTGTTGGTTTCCCTTTAAAACCACAAAACCAGGGTACCCTTTAAAGAAGTCACGCCCAAATGTCAGCCGTGTGTCAATCCTTGGATTTGGATTTCTCATCTGCAGGCTCGAGATCAGCTCTCCCGGCTCCCCCAGAACTCGGCCGGCGGTTTACTCTCAAGGGACCATGGAACCCAACGAATGACCCAGGGTGTTGGGGATTCCCTTTAAGGAAACCATAGGGGATGGTTGGTTTATAGGGGTCATTCCGTCATGCCCTGCTGCGAACCAGCAAGACTACTGCGATTCACAAACACGGAACCCCCACTTTACCCCTGTGACTTTCGGTGAGCTCGTGATTTCTTTATGAAAGAAGAAACCCAAACACATCGAGCGCGCCAAACCCATTGACTTTGGGTGTGCCAAAATGATAAAGGTTTATGCAGCCTGTGTAGTCCGGGTGTGAAACCAATAGAACCAACCACACCAACGTGGCGGCTTGGAAGCTTTTCATTGGGGGCTTTTCTTGGCGCCCGGGCTGCATCGCCTTCACTGCCTCCTCCCTGGCCTGCAGAATCGGAGTGCAAGATCAGATTTGCCACTCACTTGCCCAAAGGACCGGTTGGCCTTAGTCCCAAAAGGACCCTGGTAATCCGATTTGCTACTCACTTGCCCAAAGGACCGGTTTGTTTGCCCTGGATCCTCGAGCATGAAGCCGGAATGGCCGGAATCACGTTTGGGAAGGCCGGACTCTTTGTACGAGCCTTCCTGCCACGTTGCCATGGCACCTGTGGGAGGATACCTGGAAGATCGATTTCCTTTTGGAGGGACCGCCTGTCAGGTGCCAGGTTAGCCCCTTTGGGACCTTTACTAAAAACGGACCAACGTGGGAAAGGCCAAAATTTCAAAAGGTCGATTGGCTTTGGACAAGTGAGCAAACAAACGGGCAGAGAGACCCCAACGGGAAACCCCTTTAGGAGGTGGTTTAAACAATGAATTTGAATCAGACGAACACGGGACCTGCCAAGGAACACGCGATGAACGCCCTTGAACATCACACACCTCAGCGTATGCCCCACCATATTTACTGAAACGTAACATTTAACCGCTGGCATCCCAAATATACCAGCTTCTTGCGGGTGACATCCGATTCCAGGCTGTCACACGAAGTCATGCCCCATGGTCCATCACCCGCTTTCGGAAGGAACACCCTCTGAAGTCGGTGAAACGGCTTTCAGCCTGGAGTCGCATTTCCGGGATATGAAAAGTCTCACCTGGATGCCCCACTGAACCAATCCTCCGATAAGTTCTAGGTTACCTCGGAGCCTCTGAAACAGGGTTCCAAGGTAACTTGGGCAAATAATTCACCTGAGATTTGGAGCAGGGGATGGTTTGAGAGAAGAGTTCGCCGGTCGTTCTGTTCCAAGCACAAGTCTTGTTCTGAACGTGGGATCCAGGCGGGCATACAATGAGAAATGTGTCTAGCTAGGGCCCACAGTTTGGCTTCATGTTGGCTGTGCAGCTTGGAAACATGCCCGAATGTGTCATTTTTGAGGATACACTTTTGGGGCAGTTTTACAGGGAATCAAAGATTAAAAGCACAATTTTGGGGTCCCCAATTTTAAGACTCGCGCATATCTGCCTTTCAAATCGCCAAGTTAAATCGACGATGCGGAAACAATTGTAGGAGTGCGCTCAGGATAGCGGAGCCAGCGCCTAACACTCTAACAGAAGCATGAAAGGGGCGTGTGGCAAAAAATTGGGGGGCCAACAAAATTGTGCTTTTTTCCGGAGGGGGGCGGCCAACAAAGTTGTGGTGTTCCGTTTGGCCTACCTTTGAACCAAGCTGAAAAGGTCACCAATTCCAACACATCCCTGGCGACAACGCGGCGGCCCCAGTGCCCTCCAAAACGCTAAGGACTCCTTTATGCCGTTCGCACCCCTGCAGGAGCAACCCCAGATATCCCACTTACCACATGCAATGCATATATATATATAGATGTAAATATGTATCTATCACAATTTCCGCCTTCTTAGTCCTTTACTGTGTGCACGGGTATACACTGAATGAAAATCGGAAAATCAGAGAGGCGCCTGTGATATGCTGTGCGTCTGATGCGTCCCATATGCTCCAGACTGGACGTTCTGACCGCTTGAGTATGCATCAAAGCCAGTTAGACCCTTTTAGGTGCTTGCTTTCATGTCGGCTCCCTACCAAGGGAGCCACACCACAAGGGGCACACCCGCCTTAGCTTTGACAACGACTCTTAAGCAGAAGTATTTCCAAGCGTATTGCAAGTTTCAACCACCCGGAAACCCGATCGCGCCTTGGTAATGGCAACGCCCTCGTTGTGGATCACATACTCCGCCACCTTGCCGCGCTCGCCACACACCACATGCACAATACGCATGCCAAATGCAACCGTGGCACGCAAAGGATATTCTTGTTGCCCTCATGTTCCATGGACAAGGCCAACGAAGCCTCCAGTCTCCAAATCCAACATCACCACAGCAACGAAAGGACACAAGACATAATCTCAAGAGTACGGAGGCCTACCACAAAAGCCGTGGAACGTAGGTGGTACCCGGTTTGATTTGGAAAATGAAGCCTACTCAGATGCCCAGTGGATTTCCATGAGAAAAACAAGGCATTCTTTTTGGTTGGTTGAGTTTAAAGGAACCGGAACCCTTCCCCGAAAACAGTTGCAAAAAGGGCGCCACTGGGCAAAATAGCCTATTTTTAAACTGTTTAACCGCACAAAACGTCGCGACGTCACTCCTTCTGACGGCCTTCGTGGCATCCCTCTGGGCCGTCTCCGTGTCTTCTTCTTGCACCGCCTGAGCGTGTGCATGGCGGCATTTGGAATCCCGAAAGCAGCTTTTTGCAGCCCGCTTTTTGAGAAGGGCAGTTTAAGGGTTCAGTGCCCTTGAAGCACCACGTTCTCTCGAGGGAAGAGGAACAGCACTATTCATTTCAGTAGTGGGTCCTTTGACAATGTGGACAAAATTGAGAACTCGACTGAAATGCAGTTGGCGACTATGAGGGCGTGTGTCAAAACCAGTACCTCCAAATGACATAGTCGTCACGGTTCCGCCTAAAGGGGGCGCTTTGGTTTTTACACGCGGGGATGAATTCCAATTGGGAGCTGTTCCCTTTATGCGTAAGCGAAGGGAATGACTAAACCCAAGTCGGGTGCGCCATCTACCGCATTCACTCGACTGCAACCCTTTGGCGGACATCAGCTACACACGTTTTACCTTGTTAAAGGGAAACCAAAAGGGTAGGAAAGCCTATCACGTTGGGGGTCCAAATCCCTATTTTGACACTTGATGGGAACCCCGCAAGTCAAACCACTTCTGGATCGCATTTGCATTTGGAGGTTGAACACTCCCTTTTTCGGCACACCAAGAAACCCTGGCTGATTTTCTGGGGGGGGGGGTGGGGGCACGGGCTAAATCAGGGGTCAACATCACCCAAACATCTCGCCTCGCCTTGGCGCCCGTGGCGCCAGCTGCCGCCACTGCCTAACGGCCACTGAACGGGCGTCGGTGTCTGTCCCTTGAACCAACCCCAAAACGCAGTTAGCCTCAAAAAAGAGACACCCACGTGGAACCCAAACAAACATCAACGATGCGGTGGGGGAATCGCACCGTCTTCTCCCGGTCTTCATTAACATCAGCAACCACTCCGCTCGTTTGGTTCCAGGGTTTAGCCGTTTTGAAAACAGGTGGACCCTGAAAGGAGCCCTCCAACCCCAGAGCCGGGAAATCAGCTGTGGAAAGCCCAGCCTGGTCGTGCATGGGCGCGCTCTGTGCTTTCTTGGTCTCAGCCGCGGCGATTCCCTCCTGCACAGGGGTAAGGAGTGCTCTGCCACCGGAAAAGGAGCTTTAGCCTGTTCTGCCCTGTGGCTTGGTCAAATGTTTTGAAGTTGGTTCCCAGAAACCCCTGCACATTTGCTCCAGAAGCAAAGTCCACTTCTTTCATGCACCTTGAATACCCCTGACTGCCCGCTTGCAAATTGGGAAAAAGGGTCCCTAAATGGAGATGCCTCTAAGAATGATGGTTTTGGCGCTTCCACAAAGTTTCCAACACCCACAAGGACCCCTAATTAGTGCTGTTTAAAGCCAGCCCTGTTCCATCGTCTGCAGGGGAGTATCAGTCCATCTTGGTATCAGTCACCAGATGGATGGTTTGGTGGATTCCCTGAAACATGCGAGTAGTAAGAAACCTGCATCAAGGGGCCCGAGCTGGTTGTCCCAAATCGCTAAGCTCCCCTGATAGAAATGATAAAAGAGAAATGATTTCGAGATAATTCCCAAGCTTTTTCCAGCATATTGACTGGGTATAGAAATGCTTGGGAATCCTCTTACCTTTCTTTGCCACGCCGTGTAATCTCTGAAATTCAGGGACTTGCAAGTGCTATTGCGGAAAAGGCGTGACACTGCGTGTAAAGAGAAAGTGAATCATGGAATGGCAAACGTCGCACTGTTGAGAAAAATGGGTATGGGTCAAAATTGAACCACCAGGGGACCGCAGGTTTCGGTCCATGTTTCCACTTACTAGGGTTCCATTTGGGGTACGTTTTTTTGACCCACAGCCAAATGTTGCATAAGCCAATGTTGGTCTTCCCAAAAAGTCTAAAGATCAGGGACTCAGTGACTAAGCAAAAGGTCAGATCCGGTCAATTCGCTTGGGCAACGTTTGTCGGATCGTCCTTCATGGCCTCAGGTATTGGATCCGGCAAGATCTGCGGCTCCACCTCGGAATCCACAACTCACCATGGCACAAAAATGTGGACGTAAGCCAACCACCCAAAGGGGACCTTGGAATGGCGGGGATGCTTTTTGGTTTCTGGGGGATGCAACCACGTTCTGGAGTGATCATAGGGGAGCGGCGTCCCAACCCAGTTTGACAGGAAGCACGTGAAACTGCAGGACTTGACAAATGAGCGACGGGGGATATTACTTATGGCTGGTCCAATTGGGTAGGCCTCCGATTTGTGATTACATAAGTGACATGAGGGGCCTATCCCCCATGTCCTCTCCCTCCGAGGCTCCAAGTGCATAGAGAGAGAGAGAGAGAGTGACAAAAAAAGAAAGAAAGAAAGAAAGAAAGAAAGAAGAAACAAAAAGAAAGAAAAAAAGAAGAAGAAAAAGGAGAGGCATAAGAACTTGAACCAACCACCAAGTAGCAGTTACCTGAAAAAAGGGCACCCTCAAAAGACCTAGCACCCGGATTAACCTGTCGCCAAAAGTTATATCCAGTTCCCCTCCATCGATCAACCAGGGGTTTATGAGGCGGGGGTCAACATTACCAAGGCTCTGGCAAAGTGGCCGCCCTGCGCGGTGATCGCCTCCCTTGGACAAGGAGCCACAAAAAAAAGGCGCCGCTGTTTAGAAGGGAAGCCAACGGAAAGCCATCCAGTCCGGGGTGTCCGCATTGAGAGCTAAAACCACGATATGGTTCCATCGAACCAGCGGGTGACTACAAATGACGCGAATCCGAAGCTCCCTTTATGACCTTCCAGTTGCCTAACAAGCAAATGCGAAATTGAACTCGGAACAGTTTGGGTAAGCCCCTTGGATTTTTGCGCCCACTTTTGCCTGGGCCCCCTTGAACTTCATGGCCCAGCAAATACGGCTGGTCGAATCGGTGCCCAAATATGGCTACCTGTCAAGGCCAACATGCGACCGGCCCAAAGAAGGCACCTTTTTGTGCTGCAGCTCCCACCAAGACTACTGTGCCTGACATCAAACCGGAGCCAGAGCCCAGGTTTCGAGCCCCAACTGTTGGATGGCGGATGGAGGATGCCTCAATCCCCGTGCAAAGTCCATGACTTACAACAAAAATAACACAAAACACGGACAAAACACACAAGACACACACTTCCAAAAAGCTACAGTCTCAAAGTCTCAAAGGTCTGGCCCCATTGTCTTACCAGCAAAGTCACCCACCAACCCACCCACCCCAAGCGGTACAAGCGGTTCAGGGGAACCATTTTAGTCTCTGACTTTGCCACAAATGGTCCAAGCAGTTTGTGTTTTCCACTGAAATGAACAGCCTCCCTTAAGGGTTTCTACACTACCAGAAGGATGCTTATTTATCCCACAGCGGAAAAGGCGAAACCACGCCAGCAAATCTCATAGGTCGCTCCCGGGACCTCTCAACTCTTCGCTGTGCGCCCGGCTGGACCGCTGCGGCGGCCTCCGCTTTGGCCTGCGAGCGAGTCAGGCTTCCCCCAGGTTTTGGGTGCTTGGCGGGTCCTCTTTTGGGAGTTGGTGCCCTTTCGGGGTGTTTTTTTCATGGAAAGCCCAAAAGAGGAACCGAAGAACCGCCCAGAAATGGGCGAGCCCACCAAAGCCTGGGTGTTTGGGGAGCGCCAACACATGCCAGGACGCCATGGTCCGTTGGCCCAAGCGATCGGAACCATTTGTGCAGCTAAGCAACGGGGATGCGAAAAGGGGGGGGGGGGATTGTGGCATCTGCAGGTCTCCCCCGAACACGTCTCGTGCTACTTGTTGCTTGCCAGGCGGGTTTGCCTCAACCATCAAGAAGGGAAACGAGGGGAAACCCAACGGAAGTCGCCCTTCTGGCACGCCTTTTCGCTGTGTTGGGCATACCCGGCATACCCTCCTCTCCTTTTCTCCGTTCTGCTTGCACACGTCAATGACCCTGTTTGGGCAAATCAAGATGACCATTGGTTGGAAAAACCTACGAAAAAGACCCTCTCTTCCACCACAAGAAAGAACATCTACAGATGGTCATTTTGGGGGGGGGGGGGTGGAACGGAATATTGATCAGCACCAACACACCTAAGTAAAGAAAAATGTGCCATCTACTTTGACCCTGGCCTTTGACCCTGGCCTCAAGCCACTGGCTGTGTCCTTCTCAGGTGGGGATGCCAACATTGATCTGAAATCGGCTTGGCCAAGATGGGTGTCTGTTTTGTTGAGGCTGTCCCGTTGTTGTTTTGTTCTGTTAAATGGACACCAAACGAAAAAGCCACCATTTTGGGGGTTCCCAAACAAACCTTCCCACCCCCAACTCCACACCTAGTGGACATTGGAGTGTTGCCCAGGCCCAGCAGTGGGGCACTTGGGGCGAGCCTTCCCATCCTTCACAGCCCCAAGCACATTCAAGGACAGAGCTGTCAAAGCCGTGCCTCGTGGATGGGCAAGCCATCCTGGTAGGCGATGTATTCTGCGGCCTGACGTATGGATTGGCAATTATGTGGCTTTTGTTGGCTCTTTCAAACGGAAACTCACATGAGACTAACTTTGCAAACCTTCAGGGGGGCTCTGCCACGATTGGTTGGCATGAAGCTTTCAACATGCTCATTCCTGCCACAAGGCATGTCCCCAACATAACTTGCATAAAGGCGCATCGCTGGGAAAATGAAACAAGGTTTGTCGGTTGATGCTTCGGGTCGTTTTCACCGAGTGAACCGTCTGCGGACGGTCGTGGGGTCGACCATTGAGAAAATGAAGCCCTGTGTCAAATCAAGTCAAGGTTCAGCCAAGCCCGTATCAAGCTGCAAGCGGGAAAATGGGCCGACGACAGAGGAAATGGACCTGTGGTTGAGTTTTTGCTGAAACTTCCGCCCACAGCTCTGCAGGCAAGTATGTTATTTATTTATGTGTCTTACCAGCTCCCCCTACGGCCCTCGATTAGTGTCTGTGTTGGATGCTTTATGCCTTCCCCCCTCCATCGTTGGCATCTGGCCTTGGTCGCTTGGTCTTTCGCAACTTCCTGGGTGGCCTTGTCAGCGATGGCCTCAAGTTGTTGATCAGAGGCTGACATCTTCGGATTGAACATCTCCCAGATCCGTCAGGGGTGGTCCCCTTTTCGTGGATCAGTTTGCTCTATTTCAAGGAGACTCAGTCCTCGTTGAAATGCCAAGTGATGCCTTTCTGGCCATCACCCATAGGGCAACTTTCTTTGGGCTTGTCTTCCCTCGAAACCACTAGGGCACCATCCAGTTTGGCGAGGCGTCTGCCCCTTTGGAGACCAAACCCAGAAAAACCCCGGCCCCTCAACGGCTCAGCTCGCAGCATAGGACCCAGTGGCGCCCGCCGCGGCCACCGCCTGACGTCCATTCGGTGAAGCATCTCCTGTGAAAGTCCAGAGTCATAATCAAAACCCGATACTAGAAATGGCCTACCCAGAACCATGTTTCAAGAATTAAGAAGGCGGATATCAGCCATTCATGGCAAGGGGATTGTCCCTTACCAACCTTCATCAATCCCCGAACCGGTTTTGGTGGTTCAACTGGCCTAGTGGCTCGGCCGCGGGCAAAATCGCTGAAAGCAGGCCAACATGAAATCGGACTGGGCAGATACAATCAACATTTGGGTGTTGCTCAAAGTGGTGAGTCCCTTCAGGTGGTCGGTTTCCCATCGGTTTTCCTTCGGTTTCCCTTCTTCATTCCATCCAAAAAAGGGAGCCCCTGCTATGTATGGACAAAATCCTGCACCTGGGATGGATGAAGCCCTATGCATACCGGTTGATACACCAATATATAAGCCACCAACGGCACCCGTTTGGCACGAGACCTCGATTTGTTTCGCGTAAGCGCACCTGGGCGTGCAAGGGCTTCTCCTGCGCCTCCTCCGCCTTTGCCGCCTCAATGCCGGCCTGGCACCAAAACGACACATGGGTTGGTTGATCAATGATTCTCTTCCATCCCCAAAATGACCATGGTAACTTGTCCCCCATTTAGTTGTGAGAACTGTTCCCATTTAGTGGTGAAAAGGTTCTTTGTGGGCGGGTGTCCCTAAGGGTCACCCCATGCAAAGGACCTTTTGATCAACCCCCGCATGGGTTGGTTGAAAGGGAAACCAAAGGGGCAATCACCGCGGGGGTGTCCCGCCACGTTAACAAATGCCCAAGATGGCAACATTAATATGGGTCTGTCCTTTCCTTTTTTGAGGCTCGGTACCCCCCCCCCCCCCGCCACTTTTTGGTGGCAAAGGCAAAGGACCCACCCACATTCTACTCAGGCGACCCTTATTGGGTTCTACCAAATACGTTCCCGTCGCAAGCTACACGCACGAGTGCCCTGTGGTGCAAGCTGGAAACCAGTTAAACGGGTCCCCTGACTGCATATGTCAAAAATTGCCCCAACTCTGGTGTTTCCTCGAGTTGATCCCCGAGACCTTGTCTTCTGTGTCAGGAACCACCCACGTGCGTCGCAACTGCTAGGTAAAGAATCGAAGCAACACAGCCGCAACCTTGAATAGGAACACTTCCTCAGCTCAAACCCATGTGAATGTCTTCTTTCAGGAATCGGACCCCCAAAATAGCTTCGGCTTTCCTCTTGGTTTCACTTTACAATCCTCCAAAAAAAGACAGACCTATTCGGGATCCCATGAGCTGTCAAAACTATGACCCAAGGGCATGGGAAATTGGGCAGGTTCCCTGCTTTTTGTGGGAGAATTTGGTTGCCATGACAGCACAGGAATTCAACTGCGCCAAAGTCCCCACCAAAACAAAAACACGCAGCACTTTTGATTGCTTTAAAGATCTGCTCAATGGTGAGGGCTGTGACGCAATGGCAGCGTGCCCGCGGCCCTCTAGGCTGGGGAGGTTGCAGGTTCGAGTCCTGCCAGCCCTAAATGTTGCATCGCGCAAGAGAAATTGGACATGAACCTTTTATTGCAACGTAGCCCCCCACTTGGGTCAAACAATACCAAACAATTTTGGGTCCCAAATCTCTCTCCGGCTATCCCTCACGTGTTGAATCCGAAACCGCCTTGATAGACTCGGGCACCGGATCCGGCAGGATGTCAATGTGGTGAGCCACCTGAGCGGAAAAATGGGGCCGCTTGCGTCGGACCGTCCCCAAACTCTGCTTGGGCCGCAGGGATCCTTACATTATACACCTGAACATTGCCTTGTCAAGGGTGGTTTCCCCTTATTTTGGTGGAAAAAGCCATGTTTCAAATGGGCAAAATGTATCTTTTAAGGGTACTGAATCTTTTTGGAATGGTTTACCACAGAATCCTTTGTGGAAATCCTGGCTTCCGGAGTAGCAGAATTTTCCAAGATGTTCTGTGAGATGTTAGGGAAACCACCGGCTCCCCTCCTTCTAAAAGCGCCTAGTCCTTCATCTCCCCCAAGTCTTGTTGGGGTCAGAGGGGCCTTTGGTCGTTTCTTGGGGTTTCTCAGGTTTCCCGCAGAGTAGAAAGAAACCGAAGCGATCCGAGGTGCAACGGCTACCCTCCCACCCTTGGTACGTGAGCCACGGTCGAAAATTTGACTTGTGACACCCAAGTGGCCATGGGCAAAAAAGGGCATCCCGGTTTGGTTGGTTGACTTTAAAAGGGGAAGCCTTCCCAAAAAAAGGGCACCACTTGGGAACTGGGATGTTGACCTGTGAGCGCTTTGCCCTGTCCGAAGCCCCACCCGAGCCGAAAACCGCCCATCTCAGACAGCTGCGAAGCGGCCGCCCTGCGTGTCCATCGCCTCCCTCAGCGATATGATCAAGGATATGGTAGGGTGTTTGCAACTATGGTAAGGTACATGTGGGGGTACAACGGGAACTTCCAGGGTGTGTCTCTCGCCGCTGTCAGCTCCGACAAACCAAAGTGTACGCGCACAGGCGGTTGTCCAAAGGGCACATGTGGGGCCTGTCGGTTTTTTGAGGGTACCCCTTTTTTTTCCGTGGCTTTAAAGGGGAGCCAAAAGGAAAGCCATCATTTAGGGGGGGGTCCGATTCCTAAAAAGGACACGCCCATGTCTTGAAGGTCTTTGGTCCTTCCATCCAACAAGACGATCTTTGGACCCCCCCGCCCACCCAGAAAGAAAGAAACCTCGCCCCGAGGTTTCGGGCTGGACCGCCGCCGCAGCCTCGCTCTTGGCCTGAGCTTCCAGGGATCCCCAGCTCCACCTCTGGGTAGTTGCTCCACGTCCAATCGAGTGGATTGCCGCGAAAATGGTCTTCCCGAAAAGTGTTTGAACACCAGGAATGCAGGGAGTGGGGGAAAAACCTGTCCACAAGACCCGCAAAACTGGAAAAAATTGCCAGGAGGTTCGCTCAAACCCCTGGCGTTTCGTGTTGTCGAATTTCCTGAAGGCGGGGCGCCGAAATCGAAGTCCGGGAGAACTCCAATGGGATTTCAATTGAAACCCATGGGTGCCATTGGTGCCATGCAGAAAATACACAAACATGCCCATCCACACCTGGCTCCTATCGGGGAATGTCCTCCCAATCGCTCCTGGATTAGACTTGGAGAATGTGCTGGAGATGGTGTCTCTAAAAAACCAAGAGTAAAACCAGCAAAATTGCAAAACTGCAAGGTTCACATAGTTCCATCTAAAGTGATAAACGCAGCAAATTCCAGTTGTGCTTGGAACCCCATTTATCACCAAATCCCTCGGTGGCGTAGCTTAGCCTTCTTGGGGTGTAGCAGCCGCTTGAACGCAGGGCAAAGGGTAAGGAACTTTTCCACTGGATCAAAGGCTCAAGTTGCTTGCCTCGTGGATGGGCAGGCCATCCTTGTGCGCAACGTACTCCGCTGCCTGACGCATTGCATCGAAGTCGTCAAATCCGGTGGCTCAGCTGAGAATGCGATGCGGCGCACGGGTGTTGCCGCACCACATGGCAATTGGGTCAAAAATGGATATCCATCTTGGAACCCTAGTAAATGAAACCAAGGACTGAAACCTGCGGTCCCTGGTGCTGTATTTTTTACCCATACCCACATCGCCACAAACGTGGGACTTCGTTGGGACCCCGTACACTGGGAACCTGACCCACCCACGGTATCTCCGGCCTTGGTCGCCTGGTCTTGCGCAACTTCTTGGGTGGCTGCGTCTTTGATGGCCTCAGACCAAGGTCCAGCCCGACCCGAGATCAGCGACGGCTGCATCTGGTTTTGCCTGCCCCACTTTCGTGCGTTGTGCGTCTGTGCGTCTGCGTGTGTTATATCTGTGTCTTTGTGCGCCATAACCCTTTCTTTCGACTCGACTCAGCCCGTGGCAAAGGTCCCCGTGGCACCTGCCGCCGCTACCGCCTGAGCTCTGAGCTCCGCACCCAGCCGGATCAGCCTCAATTGCCCGCGCCTGGTCGTGCGTGGGCTTGGCTTCCGCTTTCGCAGCCTCTGCCGCAGCGATGCCCGCCTGCAGAACACTTTGCACCACGGAAGTTTGGGCCCAGCATGAACAATCGTGGGCTGAAGGCTCCTCACACACACACACACACGTGTGTGTGTATAGATATATATATATATATATGCTACCCCCCCCTTGAAATACTCAGGTTGTTGGACAGAACTGAGGTTTTTGGCCAGACTGGGGGCAACAAATGCCTTGAGACTCTGGACACTCAACTCCATGCAAATTCTAACCAAGCAGAAGTTAAGCTCAACGTTGATTAGGAGTTGCGAGTTGTGTGACCGTCACATTGGCGTGCGCGAAGTGCACTTAAAGTCACATTGGAGTATGCAAAGTGGAATTTGGCAGCTCCAGCTCAAAAAACACAACTGTTCAGTACAGGAGTAGTGCGCAAAGTATGCTTTGGCAGCTTCAACGCGCCTGTAGCAGACCTATTATTTGGTGTTTATTATTTTTGTTTGGCAGCGAAATTCAGCAAAACATCAACTTGGGGAAAAAGGAACTCATTCCTAATTCATGTCCTTGCGCAGTTGCATTTACGTGTTAACTCGAGTGTTGTGCATAATTCCTGACATGCTAGTTCAGTCTAATTGAAACATGTGTTGCAAAGCAACTATCCCACGTGTGTGTGTGTGTTGCTTGTCTAAGTTGGTTCCATCATCGCCACAAACAACTATTGAATTTCAAGTAAGGGAAGAATATCCAGTTAAAAAAGCGTTCGAGTTCAAACCAAATTCAAGTTTACTCGTTTGCAGTTTCTTGTGCATTTCAAAAATCAACTGGAGAAGATAGCTATTGTCATGGCCAAATGAATTTGGAATCAAACTCAATTTTTAAAGGGTTCTTGTCCTTCGAACACATATGTTTGTGGAATCTTGTATAATTGATGTTCGATCCAGGGCAACACGATCTGAGCAAATGCTGAAAAAACTGCGTTTTACAGCAGCATTGTAAAGAATAGGATCTAGGATTGAAAACACGTTCCTGTCATTGGCTTGGCTCAGTTCTTGCTGGAATGTACTCAATCCTGGTCACCCAAAAACTTGACAGTTTGTTCTAGACTCATCAAGGTTTCGCCATGCATTGAAGATTGATGATCTACCAGATTTTCTATTTGAGAATCTTCCATCCTGGCCAACCCTCAAGTCCACAAAAAATGTAAAGGTGTCAGCAACATTTTTCCCCCTGGCCAATTGCAGGCAGTGCAAGTGCACATCCACATTTTGATTCTGACAACGTGCGCTCCCGGTCTGCCTTTTGGATTCTTCAAATCCGCACTTAAGGCAATCCAGGATCTGGATGGGAGATTCAAGATTCTCTGACAACTCTTTCTGAAATTCTCCAAATATGTACTTAGAGTAATCCAGGATGTGCTAGCACGTGCTAGCACATCCTGGATTGAAGATTGAAGATTGAAGATTCTCAGACCACTTGTTCTGGAAATCTTCAATCCATCCTGAGGACAAACTGGTATGTGCTAGCACGTGCTAGCACATCCTGGATTGAAGATTGAAGATTGAAGAATCCCAGAGAGAGTTGTCAGAGAATCTTCAATCTTCAATCTTCAATCCAGGATGTGCTAGCACGTGCTAGCACATACCAGTTAGTCCTAAGGACGGATTGAAGATTTCCAGAACAAGTGGTCTGATAATCTTCAATCTTCAATCTTCAATCCAGGACGTGCTAGCACGTGCTAGCACATCCTGGATTGCGCTAAGTACCGATGCTAGAATTTAAGTCTAAAAAGGAGTGCATTTCTTAGAGCCTGATTTTAGAAGCTGGAACGTGTGTTTTGCATGCATTTTACAGACACAATGTCAATTTCTGGCCAAAAACCTGAGTATTCCAGGGGGGGGTACCATATATATATATATATAGATATGTTATATATGTACACGTGTGTGTAAGCTAACCAAACGGCACCACACAAGCAAGCGATAACTCTTTTATCCAAGCAATGTGTTGGTGCCAGGGACTCATCTTCCCCTGTCAGATGTCTACGGCTGGGTGGGCCCCATGGGCCACCCACCACAAACCCTCAAAAACTGAAGAACGGGTGTGCAGACTGATAGCGCCCGCCCCTGAGCCGGGGCCCGGGGCACCCAGGCCACAGGGGGGTCTGCCACCAGGGGAAGTGAGTCACCCACCGGCTCCGGTCACGGGAGCATGGGTGGGCCCACGCTAAGATCAAATGCATCTCCATTCAGGAGACGCGGGAGAAAAACGAACTCCTCGCAGAGTTCCTGTTGGGGACCCTGTGCAAAGGGTCGAACCCAGAGAAATCTGGGTGCGTCAGCTCATCGGCCCACTGGTTGAATTCCCGGGGCACGTGGTTGGCCGCCAGCGAGCAGCCATGGGTGTGGAGCAGGAAGACCAGCTCCATCAGGATAGCCGCGGTGTAGGGCTTCTTGGATCCAAGGTTGAGCATCGCCATGACGTTGCCCTGATTGTCACTGCCCACCGGGAGTCGGACCCGGGAGGACAGAGGGCCTTGGTGCGTGAGGATCATGTTACAGAGGAAGAGCGTGCCCAGCATTTCCAGAGCCGCAATCCTCCGCTTGGGATCCCCATTCTTGAATGCCCACGGGTACTCCTCCACGTGGATCTGCTCGTGGAACCAGTACACCTCCTTCTTTTCCGGCTCCATTTTGTTGGAGCACCAGCCTCCCACAAATGCCAGTCCTTCGTCCGAGGCGCTAGCATCGCTGCAACCCCACCAAGAGGACTTCGGCAAGTAAGGGGAGTACTGGACGAAGGGCGTGTTGAAGAGGAACCGCAGCATGAACGCCAGCATCCTGACCACCTTAGGGGGTTTCCCCACCGTGGTGGTGGCCATCTTCCAGGCCCACAGTGGCTGAAGCATCGACTTCGCCAGCGGACATGCAGCAGTTGTCCATTGGATGCGGCCCAGGGCCTTCTCGATGTCCTTTGAGTGCATCGCCTGCCCTTCCACCATGGTCTGCAAGACCTCCATCACCAGGATGTGTTTGTTGGCGGCCATGAGAACCTGCGGGATGTTCGGGTGGACCACGAAGCCCAGCCACGTGTTGACCTCCGCCAAATGTGTCTTCTTCCAGCTAAGCGGGGTGCCCAAGGCCAGGAGTGTTGCCAACAGCGCCACCGCCAAGTTTACTGCCCCCTCGCTGCGAAGCAGCCACAGGAAGTCATCCACAAAGACGAAGTTCCAATCCACTTGAGGGAAAAGTGCGTAGAGGACCCTGAGTAGAAGGGCTGCCAGGCGTCCCCAGTAGGATTGGGCACTGGCCATGCCGTATGTGCCTACCTTGTTCACCCACCATTCTTCCCCCAGTGAAGCCACCTGGAACCGCCAGTCCTTCCTGAGGACCTTCCCTCTCCGGTGGGCCTTAGTGACGTCCGCCTTGAGCAGCACCCACCTGGTGCCCGGCTCCGGCCATTGCCAGCCCTCGGGTGGAGGTTTGACGACCTCCTTCTCGGGGCCGGGGGCACCCTGAGAGGGAGGTCCCTCCTCAGCTGCCGCATGTAGCCAATGAAGAGCTTGTACCCCATCCAGCACCGTCGGAGCCGTCGTCCTTTCCACCGTCTGGTTCCTGATGGTGTCATTGGCCCCGCCAACGCTTGTTGGCCGGCCTTCAGCCTCAGGGACTGGCGCTTGTTGTTCCCCGGCGTGCTGGGAGATGGTTCCCTCTGCCGTCTCGGGCGGGTCGTTGGGTTCACTTGGGGCACCGTGCCCCCCGGCCTCAGCGCCTCCAGGACGGGTCCCGCTCTGCAGAGGATGGCCGCTGCAAGACCCTGCATCATCTGCTCTGGGCACCGGCTGAGGTCACTGGAGTTGAGCTTTTTCCCCCCTGGGGTGAGCTCCGTGGTTGCATCGCAGATCATGCCAATGGTGAAGGGGAAGGTCCGTTGACAATGTCGTGGACTTCACTACCACCTGGCCCAGCAAACTTGATGAGGGAGTGGTGGAGTGCGTTCGCCCATTGAATGTAGGCACGTGTGACCCAAGGCGGGCTCTTGCTGCACTCCATTGGGTCCATTGGCCGCTCCAGGAAGGAGGAGCCCACCTGCGGGACCGTTCGTTGACCTAGCCCTTGGTAGGCCAGCGAGGTCAGGTACATCTGTCGGAGCATGAGCACGCTGTCGTTGTCCGTGTCCTCCATTACCCGGGGCTCCAGGTCCTCCAAGCCCCACAGGGTCTGCTCCGCCCTGCCCCTCACCGGCGGCGGGCCTCCCGGTTTGGGGAACCATCTGAGAATGCTCCACGTTCTGCAGTTGGGGCCGCCCCCCACAAAGGCGACCTTGCCCGCCATGGCCATGGAGCACATTGTAGAGTATGGCTCGTCTCCCAGCATGTCCTGTCCAAGATCGCCACCCTTTCGCCTAATGTCCACTGCCCAAATGTACTCCGAGAAGGCCGGGTTGTAGGCATGGAGGTAGGCATCCAGGGCCCCCGCGTCGTCCTTCCCAGCGTACAGCAGGATGAGGGTCGGCTTCGACGACTCGTCTGAGCCTCAGTTTTTGCGGGGTGTCTTGCATCCAGGGGAAGGTCCCCTGGGGTTTCCGTGTGTCCTTTGTCCGACCCACGTCGTCTGGCCCTGGGCTTGCTGCTTGCCCTGACGGTTCTGCCCGCCCTTGGAACGCCCCTTGCCGGGCGGATCCTCACCTCTGGGTCTCTCTGGGGTTCTTCCCACTGCCTCGGTGGGTGTGGGGGAAAAGGGTGCTTCCGCCCTTCTGGAGTGCCCTGGCTGGATCCACTCCCTTTCTTCGGTGGAGGGGCTTCCGGGGCCGGTGGCACCCTGGAGAAATCCCCTCCCACCTGCGGCCGTCCTGGCCTCCCCAACTCTGTCTGCCTTCCGCTGTGGCTCTGGTGGGATTGGCTCTCCCCCGCTGTGTGCACTCTCGCACTGGTGGCCTGTGATCCCTTCGGAGACCAGGCAGCCACGGGGCCTATGGCACCCTGAGTGGCCTCCTGTCACTTGGGGAGGTGTGGGCATGCCTGTGGCACATGCTTCGCTGGGGGCCGCTGG